CGGGCCCCAGGGCCACCACCACCACGTGCCCCTCCGCAGCTGCGGGCTGCCCCATGCATCCTGGGGCTGCCCCCCAGCCCTCCCACTGGGCCAGCGTGTGGGTGGCAGTGTCCCACACATGGGGGCTGAGCGCTGCCCTGTGCCGCAGGGGCCGGTTTGGCGTGATCCGGTTGTGCAAGGAGAACGCCACGGGGAAGCACTTCATGGCCAAGATCGTGCCGTACGAGGCAGAGAGGAAGCAGAGCGTGCTGCAGGAGTACGAGATCCTCAAGGCGCTCCACCACGAGCGCATCATGGCCTTGCACGAGGCGTACATCACCCCCCGCTACCTGGTGCTCATCTGCGAAAACTGCATGGGCAAGGAGATCCTCTACAGCATCGTGGACAGGTACGGGAGGGCGCGGGGCTGCAGTGGGGCTCCCAGGTGTGGGGCCGCCTGCTGACGGCGCCTGCTCACAGGTTTCGCTACTCGGAGGACGACGTGGTGAGCTACGTGCTGCAGCTGCTGCAGGGCCTCGAGTACCTGCACAGCCGCCGCATCGTGCACCTCGACATCAAGCCAGACAACGTCGTCGTGTCAGGCATGAACGCTCTCAAGATCATCGACTTCGGCAGTGCCCAGACCTACAACCCCCTCGTGCTGCGGCAGCTGGGGCGGCGCGTGGGCACCCTGGAGTACATGTGTGAGTGGGGCAGCAGGAGCATGCGTGGGGTGGGGATGAAATGGGATGGTGTTGGGGTGGAAGTGGAGATGGGGATGAGAACAGGGATAGGGATAGGGATAGGGATGAAGATGGGTTGGGGATGGGGGTGGGATCGGATGGGGATGGGGATGGGATGGGAGGCACGCTTGTGCCTGCAGTCGTGCAGGAGAGCTACGTGTGTGCCCGTGCAGAGAGCTCTGTGGGGCCTGGGACTGTGGTGGAGTTGAGGTATCCATGGGGGAAGCTGGGAAGTCTCTGGGATGCTGGCAGTGTCTGCGGGGGGTTTCTTTAGGGCCAGTGGGCTCTGTGGGAGGATTGGGGTGTCCTTGGGGGTGTTAGGCTCTGTTAGGGCATTAGGGTGTTAGTGAGGGGTGTTGGGGGGTGTGAGGGTGGGGTGCCAGGAATAGTGGGCCCCCCCTATATTTGTGACAGACCTTCTCCCTTGCTCGCAGCACCAGAAGTGGTGAAGGGTGACCCTGTGGGCTCTGCAGCGGATGTCTGGGGTGTTGGCGTCCTCACCTACATCATGTAAGATGAGGAGATGGGGGGTGAGCACCCCAGGGCTCAGCGTGCCCTGTCCGGGGCTCAGCACCATGGGGAATCCCAGGCTGAGTGGTGGGCTGTGGGGGGGCTGTGGGGGATGCCATAGCCCTGCAGGCCCTTCCCAGCCACATATGGGGGTCAAGGCATCCTGGGGAGCTATGGCTGACCGGCGGGAGAAGGGTGCTGGGTCCCAGGTGCCCCCACCACTGGCATGCAGGGAGCAGGGGGCAGAGCTGGGCAGGATGGCACCCCAGCCCGTGCCACCCCTCCATCCTCCCAGGCTCAGCGGGCGGTCACCGTTCTTTGAACTGGACCCAATCGAGACAGAGAACCGCATCCTGGCAGGGCGCTTTGATGCCTTCAAGCTCTACCCCAACGTCTCGCAGAGTGCTGCCCTCTTCATCCGCAAGGTCCTCTCCGTCCACCCCTGGTGAGTGCCCAGCCCAGCCAGTGAAGACGCATGCCCCCAGCTGGCAGGCAGCTCTCTGCCCCACAGAACCCTCCAGAGACTTGTCCGGGGTCATCAGTGGGACCCTCGGGATCCATCCTTGCCCCGGGATCTACTGGGTACCAGGAGCCTGGGATCCAACCCTGCTCTTGGAGACACCTGGGATCTCCTGGTCCTTAGGACCCCAGGGTCCATCCCTGCCCTGGGAGAGAGCTGGGACTCACTGGATCTCAGAGGGAAGCAATGGTGGCTGGGTTTGGGAGGGCCCGTCCCCGTGCCCAGGGCGGGCGCCCTGACGCTGCGCTGCCCGTGCCGCCCCAGGAGCCGCCCCACGGTGAAGGACTGCTTCGCCAACGCCTGGCTCCAGGACGCCTACCTGATGAAGCTGCGCCGCCAGACCCTCACCTTCACCC